ATTATTAGTAACCACGTGTTCAGTCTCTGTGAGAAGAGTTAGAAGAGTTTCGAACCTTTACATTAATAGGTTATTAGTAATCACATGTGTGTTCTGTTTAAAGGGTCCTGAGCCTCAAGACTCTAATCAGCACTGTGACTGCAAATTACACAGGGAGGTAATATCTGTAAACAGCTAGACAATAATACTCTTTCTTAACTAGAACTTTAGGCATGGGTTTCCATTAGAGCCATAGTAAAGTAAGTTAGAATACACAGGAACTACAAAGTCTCCTACTATGTAGACCTAAGACACCTTTTAGCCTTGGATGATCCTTGAAATCCTTTTGCTTCATAGACACATAATGCTGGGAAAGTTGAAATTCGAGGAAAATCTGCAGTCAAGGATTGGGGAAAAGTAAGCTAACAAAGCTCAAAGAGCAATATCTGCATTTGTTCTTCATTGCAGAATACTGTTTTCAAAGCAGTGAGTCTCCATACAGATCCAATGTGCTGAGTTAAGTATTGTTAAATGTGGAAGGTTTAAAATATGTTTATAAATTCGTTTACACCCATCCTTTCAAGAAGTAGAGCTAAATTCTACTCCCTTTGAGTATAGCCTAGAATGCATGACTCACTTCTAACAATCACAATGTGGTGGGAAAGACAACGTGCTGCTTCTCAAAAAAAAGCATAGTGTCTTCCTTCTTGCTTTCACTGGAGGAAAGCCAGCTGCAAAATCATCAGGAAAACCCAGGGGCCCTATGGCTGCTTCATGCAGCTAGGAGATAAGGCAAACCTACTGTCAACCATTGCAAAGAAATGAGGAAGCCTCCTGTCAACAGTCAAATGATTGTGTTATGCCATCCTACAAACTCATACTCTAACTTCAGTCAGCTCTCAAGAATTTTCAACTGTGGCTGCACATCTTGACTAAGAAAAAAAAAAAAAGAAAAACATTAAGCTGAACTTGCTCAGCCAAACAACTCCCAAATTCCTGCTCCTCAGGAGCTTTGTGAAATAAAATGGTTCTTATTTTTGTTTCTAAAAAAAAAATACACATGTGTGTGTGTGTGTGTGTGTGTGTGTTATGTAAAGACATATTTACTTATAGAAAATAATACTCATTGAAATCTATACTTTGCCATGCATTGGGGACACAAAATGAACAAACAGAGCCCAATTCATCATCTTCAGGTTATTTATCTTCTACTAGTATTTCTAACAACATAGTTCTCAACAATTTCTCTTTCTCTTTTATGCCTACCAAGTTTACTCTCACTTTGCTAAGAGTGTTTCTAAATTTAGTCTCTCCTAAATCTTATCTTGTGTGATATTTATTACCTAGAGCTCCTCCATTGCTCTCTTATTTACACTCTCAGTTTACTTTCAATGTCCTTAGAAATAAAAATAATTTGAACTATTGATGTTGAAACAAGAAGGAAGAATTCATCGATAATTCCACTTGCACACACACTATCTTGACTATAATCTCCTCACTGTTCCATCTTTACTTGATTTTCATCCTAAATGCTTCTTCCTATCCCTAATTTCTCTCTGACCTCTTAAGTCATGCCATCCTAGCTTCCACAGCACACTCCCAGTGAGTTCTATGGTGCTCTCATCACTGTGCGGTCCCCAGTGATTCACTCTAGGATTTGTTTCCCAGAATATCTATGGAAAGAACAACACTGGCAAATAGAAAAGGCCACTAGGGACCCAGGAAGGCAAAGACACCCCAGTTTAAATCTGCCTCAAGTTTAGATACTCCATGTCATTCTGCAGCTAAACAGAACTTTCTCAAAACTTAAGTTGACTTTCCTAGACTCAGGCTGATTATGAGAAAACTCACAAATATCTGCAGGTAAGAATCCAGGAAAAGGGAAAAAGAAGGTAGAAGAAAGAGTAGGAAATCTTGGGACATAAATAGTTATATAGGAAAAAATACAAAAACCACTAAAGCTTGTGTGGTCATGTAGGGTCCTGCAATCTTTATAATGACTAATGATATTCATTAGAAAATAAGAATATTTCTCACATTTATTTCTGAAATATCTTTACTTATAGTTGATGTTGATATATTTCTTGGGCAATTGCTCCAAAAAGCATTTAAAGCCATGCCATATTATTTAAAATTCCCTACTACCACATGGAGAATTTTTATCTCTAGTATTCTTGAGAGGTGATTTTTCACCTTCTGCCTAAAAACTACAACAGATACTGAGCTTTTAGTTCCACAAGGCTGTCTTTTCTCTATGGGAAAACATCTCTGTGATTGGATCCTCTCCTCTGTGGAATAAAAATGCACATTTTTAACTTTTTTACCATACTTTTTTTTTTCATTTTTCTTTTATTATTCATATGTGCATACAAGGCTTGGTTCATTTCTCCCCCCTGCCCCCACCCCCTCCCTTACCACCCACTCCGCCCCCTCCCTCTCCCCCCTCAATACCCAGCAGAAACTATTTTGCCCTTATCTCTAATTTTGTTGTAGAGAGAGTATAAGCAATAATAGGAGGGAACAAGGGGTTTTGCTGGTTGAGATAAGGATAGCTATACAGGGCATTGACTCACATTGATTTCCTGTGCGTGGGTGTTACCTTCTAGGTTAATTCTTTTTGATCTAACCTTTTCTCTAGTTCCTGGTCCCCTTTTCCTATTGGCCTCAGTTGCTTTAAGGTATCTGCTTTAGTTTCTCTGCATTAAGGGCAACAAATGCTAGCTAGTTTTTTAGGTGTCTTACCTATCCTCACCCCTCCCTTGTGTGCTCTCGCTTTTATCATGTGCTCATAGTCCAATCCCCTTGTTGTGTTTGCCCTTGATCTAATGTCCACATATGAGGGAGAACATACAATTTTTGGTCTTTTGGGTCAGGCTAACCTCACTGAGAATGATGTTCTCCAGTTCCATCCATTTACCAGCAAATGATAACATTTCGTTCTTCTTCATGGCTGCATAGAATTCCATTGTGTATAGATACCACATTTTCTTAATCCATTCGTCTGTGCTGGGGCATCTTGGCTGTTTATCCAGCTACTTTTTAGCTCATAATGAATCTATAAATGTGGAAGAAAAAATTACCAGGATCATGAGACATTCTTGTTTATCTTGTCAGTTTGAGACTTTTCATTATCCTAGTCAGAATTATTTCCAAATAACAAATCAATAAGTCAAAGCTAACATTACATTAATCATGTATGACCGAAACTCTGTATTTAACAGAAAAGCAACAAAATTTGCATTTTAAAGCACAAAATCCTTTAACGAATTATCACAGGAAAATATATATACAATCCACTAATGTGATACATAGGTGAACTTAATCCTCATTAAAAGTTTTGTCTTATATACCTCATCAAAATTTTGACATGAAGAAATGAAATTCAAAACTATAAGCAGCATTGTGAAGTCACATACAGTAAGACACAGATCTGAGATTTTATCCTAGGTTTGTGTGATCCCAAAGACTTCTTCATGTCACCATGCCAAATTACTTTCAAGGAGACCCACCTATCATGAAGCCTGTGTTCCTTTTATCAAAGACAGTTGAAATATGAAATGCTCATATCTGAATAATACAATTTTACGCATAAATATTGCAGTAGTATTTTAGGAAATGTGCAAATCTGTTTTGTGTTCTTAAGTAGAGTGGATTAATTAGCAAAAAATTCATTCACACTTTATGTAATTTAAGCCTAACTTTGTTTTACTTCAATTTAATGTTATTTTAAAAGTTTGATTTATGGTTGAAATAAAAATGTTATATTATACCAGAGACCTAAAAACAACTCCCTGACATTATACATAATTTAAGAGAATAGCAAATTAGGGTATAAAAGTAAATTGATACAGACATAAGTAGAAAGGCTAACAATCCAAGTTAATCAAAACATAATATTAATGTTATTATCATTTTATACTTAATGTAAATTTGTATGTATTTATTGGCCTTTGGTATTAAGCTTTTAATAAAATTTTTCTTTCTTTGCTACCAATCCATATTGTATAGTTGTAATGTTTTTACCAAATTCTGAACTTTAAATCTAAATAGTGAAATTTAATTACCTTTTTTTATTTTAAATATTCTTACTTCTATATACTTATGTTTGTATTATTATGTATTTGTGTCATTTTCATTTAAACATATTAAATATACTCTTTATGGCTTGCATTAAATGACCTATAATATTATAAATATCTCTGAAAATAGCTGTTTAGTTAAAATCATATAACACATACAATAAAACCTTATTTCTATAGAAATATTTCTGACCATTAACACTCTCCAACTATGTTGCCTTTACGATAGGAATACAGCCAAAGATTTAAACAAAAACTATTAATTATCCTTACTTTTTATCCATACTCAGATAACCTTTACTGAATATGCTGCAAATTTAATTATAAATTATTACCTATTGAGACATTTTTGGATCTCACATTTGTCACCCAAAATAAGTGTTACTCTGCAACAGAAAAGACTAACATATTTGCTAAATCCATTGTCAAAATCAACAATCTATTGCAAAACATTACAGAGAAGAATTCAAAACCCAAGTCCTATCCAAGAAATGAGGACCCAGATCTGATTAAATTCAGAATCTTTGTCTTGAGAGAATTCTTCGCTTTGTGGCATGTTTATACTTTTATATCTGCCTGTAATTTTGAAAGCGTTGTCCTTCCAGGTCCTGTTTTCTAGGAAATAAATAATCCAGATTTGAAAATGTTGAATATTAAACACAATCACAGGAACAGGATAATTTAAACTATGAGTTCAGTAAGTCTTTATTGCAAATTTCTTGCTGAGAATGTTTCTCTCTGTTGTAAAAGTCATTGCCTTCATCCCCAATCCAAGTAGCTGTAGTATTCATTTGGTCATTAATTTACACAGCAAAGTCAGGACTGTCACCAAAAACCACTGTACTTAACAGCTTTTTTGTAGGTATGAAAGATGCAGCCCCTATAAAATGTTCCTTTATCTTTCTGTCTAGGAATCAGCTCCTTGGGGAGCTGAGATTAGGAATGTCCTCTTGCAACAACTCCATTCCTCCACCCTTGATATTCATTCTGGCTGGAATTCCTGGCATGGAGTCTTCGTATGGCTGGTTCTCTTTGCCTTTTTTCTTGATATTTGTTATTACAGTCATAGGCAATGTCACCATTTTAATTATCATTCAGTTGGAAAAGAGTCTTCACGAGCCCATGTTTCTCCTCCTGGCCATGCTGTCAGTTGTTGACCTGTGCCTGGTCAGTGTCACAGTTCCTCGCATGCTGGGAATCTTCTGGATGAATGCCAAAGAAATCAGTTTTGATGCCTGCCTCACACAGATGTTTTTCATCCCTTCCTTTTATGTCATGGAGTCTGGGATCCTGCTGTCCATGGCTTTGGACAGATTTGTGGCTATCTGGTACCCTCTGAGGTACACAACCATCCTTAATAACAGCATGCTTGTGAGAATGGCACTAGCTATCCTGGCAAGGGCAGTGGCAGTGCTGACCCCAGCACCAATTCTGGCAAAAAGACTGGAAAGCTTCCAAACCCATATCATTTCATATTCCTACTGTGCTTACATGGCTGTGTTGATGATAGCCTGTGGAGACATCTCTGGCCACATTGTCTATGGGCTCATGGTTATTGTGGCATCTGTGGGATTCGATTTATTTTTCATTATTCTGTCATATGGATTTATCCTTCAAGCTGTCTTTCACATACCATCTTGGGAAGCTCGTGGCAAGGCTCTCAGCACATGTGGCTCTCATCTTTGTGTCATTTGTCTGTTTTATTCTCCTGTTGTCTTTTCTGTCCTGGCTCAAATTTTAGGCTACCAAATTGCTCCCCATCTACAGATCATCATTGACAATCTGTACTTTCTGGTACCTCCCATGGTCAATCCCTTGATTTATGGGGCAAGGACCAAACAAATACGTGAGTGGGTTTTGCGAATTTTCCACTGTCAAAAAGACTGAGGCTGATATCTTTGGTGTGGAAAGGAGGCCTAGGGATGTAGAACTGGAAGTTTTGTTTAATTTGCAATCTAGATAATTCCTGGAAGGTTTGGTGCTCTATGAAGAAAGGAATTATCAAAGCAAAAAATGAATTCAGTCCTGTTGGTTTATAATCACAACATGTTTTTTCTATGAGGATGCAGTTGTCATGGAATTCCTATAACTAGAATCTTCCCCAAAGTACTTTGTAAGTAATAAAACAGAGAATATTTATTATCAATTTTATCACAAAAATTGGGAACACTTCCCAAATGAGGTAAAAATATAATTTAGGCATATGTTATCAAGAGATGGGGCAAAATTGAATATCCAGAATTTGTGCTAATTAATTTTATCTCTTCCATATTTCTATTTTAGCTATTATGCTAACACAAAACAATATATGAAGAAAAATGATGTTATAAGAAATCAATACACATAAATATCTACAGCATATAAATAAGCTATAAGCTTCCTTTCTTTGTTTACATTACTTTGTGAGTTAAGGAATAATAATCATTAGTAATACATAATAAATTTTACTTAAGAAATAAACATTTTCCAATTAAAAACAAAAAACCTCAAAAAGCTATAATTTTTCTAGATTTTTTTCCATTCCACAAACCTGATTTCATGTATGTTTACAAATTTAAGGTACGGAAATCTTTTTTGAGATTATTGATGCATCTGGTTATGAAAATTAATATATTTCAGTGCAACATTTGCATATATGCACATATCATGTCTTGATTTTTTTCAACACTCCCTCCAAGTATGCATTTTGCATTCCTAATTTTGTTCTTTTGACTTGAGGTAAATTACGTAATTATTTTCCGTTCTCTCTCCTCACTCAACTGAACTCAAGATTTCTCTGCACATGTCCATTACCATGTATCTACCTCACACATTTTTCACTGTGTGTGCCTAAAAGATAAAATCCTTCTAACTCAACGTCCTCCTCTGATCGCTCTCACGTTAAGGTTGTTGAAACATCACCAGGAGTTCTTTTTCAAATAAATATCTCATTTCATCCACTTAAATCCATTAGCATCTTGTTCCTCAAGGTAAAGACTTAACTCTATAGTATGACACACAAGTTATTGCATGACTGGAGTTTAGTCTGCCTCACCAGGTGCTCTATTCTAAATAAAAAAGAAATCACAGAATAGGAACCACTCCAACTAAAAGTGACTGGTTTGTTTGTAAATACATACACCTTCCTGACTAATTTTTCTAACTCCTCTTCAAATAATGCTAAACAGCCCTTTTTATTGCAAGTTTTCTGAGATTCATTTGTCCTTGATATAATCTCTACCTCAGTGATTTGTCTTCAAGCCTTGCCATTGTGTTCTTCTTCCTTTCTTTCTTTTCCCTCCTTCCTTCTGTTAGAAACATCTTTAAGGTACTGAGTTGTCACGAGAGAGACAAAACAACTCAGAAGTCAACAGGCAAAGAAAAATTTACCTCTGCAGAAAGGTGCACCACAGACAAATAGCAAGCATGCCCAGTGGGAAGTCCTGTTAGGTTTTATCTCTAATAAGTGCTGTCCCTCCCCTGGATAGGACAGGTTTGGGGTTCACAGTTTATGCAGTTGGCTAATTAGAAAGGAGACATCGGGAGGGGACTTTGAAGAAAAAAGAGTTTAAAAGTTCAGGAAAGCAATAACTGTTTTAGGTTATCAGGTCTGCAACCAGGGCATCTAGCAGAATTTAGTCTTGATGAGAATAACAACCTTTTGTTCTTAATAGAAACTTTTGTCTGGTTAAGCAGAGTCCATGAAGCAAGCATAAGGACTTTAGATTTGTAAAGTCATACCATCCTCACTTGTTTAATGTTCATTCATAGTTTATATAACTCCTGGCTCACCTGAGACAAACACAGATAATATTCATTCACTCAAGCATGGTAAAATATACACTCTTCTTCACATACATACTTCCAATCATTTTATTCATTTAAGCAACTTGTTTGCTCTGTTTCTCTATCACTCTCACATGCTTTCATAGTTATATGTATTGACATTCAGACACCTCACTTGACATATGCATACTTACACAAGATATGTGTATGTACAAATATTGGACAAAGGTACTAAGTTACATCAACAGATCAATATATACAGGGTTGAGAAATATACTAATTTTCCAATGGTTACAATACAAAAGAAAATGCAATTTGGAAGATTATACTAGGGGTATGTTAGAAAAATCCAATATGCCATAGTCTCTCCTCTAGTTACAACAATCCATATCTTTTTTTGTATGCTATGATTACAGAGTTAAAATGAAATGAGTAAAACAAAATGATTGAGTAGATAAATGGATAAATTGATACATATATTCCATAGCATTTAGTATCAAGAGGATTGAATTTAGCCTTCTTGAAGATAGCTACATTAATCCTTTGTAAATCCAACTCCTTTAGTCTACTCTTTGTGCATTAACAGGTATTAGATGAAATTCTATTCCTTCAAATATGCAAAACAATTTCAAAAAACACATTTCTCCATGTTAAAAGGTTTTTTTATTTTTGTTGCACTGGAGTTTGAACTCAGGAGTTTCTGCAGGTGCTCTACCCCTTGAACCATTCCTCCAGCCCTTTTATGCTCTGGCTGTTTTGGAGATAGGGTTTTGCTTTTATTGCCCAAGTCTGCCTATTTTATGCTTAGCTAATATGACAGTGCATGCCACCATGCTTGGTTTTTTTTCTGTTGAGATGAAGTTTTACAGCATTTTGGTCTGCTCTAGCCTGGAAATGCAATCATCCCAATCTCAGCCTCTCACAAAGCTTGGGATAATAGGAGCACACTACTGCACCCAGGTATTGGTTGAGTTGGGGGTCTCTCAAACTTTTTACCCAAGCTGATCTTGAACCACCATCCTACTGATCTCAGCCTCCCAAGAGGCTAGTATTACAGGGATGATCCAATGGCACCTGGGTATTTTAAGAATTTGATTCATTATGTCTCTGTATTTCTGATGAAGACAGGTAGGATTATGAAAAAAGTGATATTGTGAGCACTAATCTGTCTCTCTATGAAACTAAGGTAGTCCCCTACCTTTTAGTTAAAAAGAAAAAGGAATACTATACCCAAAAGCAAATTGCCATTGAACCAACTGACCTGCAAAGTTTCTATATATTGGAAAGCTGGTATATCCCATTGCTATTCTCAACAGCTGACACTTAGATTGCTTGGCACAAATCTTAGATTTCTTAGTACCTGATATGAAAACACTACTTCTCTTTCAAAGATGATTTTATAGGAAATGAGGGTACTTTTTTAAAACATGGTCATGACGTATCTAGCAGTATGTTGTCATTCCCTCTATAACATCGTGAAGGAACTTGGAATAATATGCCTCATTTTGCCTACATATTTTTTACATATTTCCCTAATGAACCATTTCAGGTGCAGTTTTAAAGATTGCCATTTACTTTCTGGGTGCTCTAGAATTTCCTGTATATAGTTCCTCTTCATGCCAAAAGCTTCTTACAAATCTCTGTACAAAGCCTTGTTCTGGTTTGGGGAGTAAGATCTACCCATGAGTGCAATGTGTTAGAAGTATTGGGAATGGGATATTCTAGAAGTTACTATCTACCAATTAGGGGTAAGGATTACTGATAAATGTCTTGTATTTCTAGCTACTGGTCAGGGCAATTTGGAGTTGTGTTTCTTACATTTTCTCCAAGTATCCTTAGCACGAGAGAGCTCTGATGAATCACAGCAGTAACTTGCTGAGTTACCCAAGGAAATTTTATTGCCTTTCTTCCCTTCCTTGTCTTACTTGTTTCCTCACCCAGAAGTTTTTATTTTCCCTGGATGATATTGCAAATACACCATTTATACTAAAATTGCTGATTTTTTTGTCTTGTGAGAACTCTTGGAAAAATACCTCCATGTTATTCATCTGTTTATAGATTGAGACCATCATAAGGTAAATGTTGTCTTCTTTCCTCCTCTAAATAATAATGTAATTCATTATTTGGACAACCAAGAGGAGAGGAAAAGAACTACAGTCAGTTGAGAGAGTAGTTCAGTTAATATTGTTAATGCTTGTGTGGTGTTTGTCATGACGGTGTACATGCTCTTAGTTCACAGAGACCGTAAGGAGAGAGATCAGAGAAGAAGGCTTTGTGGATATGGCTGATCTTTCAATGTCTTGATTTTTCTCCACTAGCTTGTAAATCATTTAGATTTATAGAGATAGGAATAGGACAAAAGTCGATGCTACATGTTATTCATCATAGCACTATAAATATTTCCTAACCTTTTGGCAAAAAGTAAGTTTACTGTAGGTTTCAACATTATACATATGGATAATGGCCTCATTCCAAAGCCATCTAAAAAGGTGAATTGTTTGGCTACCAAATAAAACAACTATATTTTACAGTTAAGTAATAATAGCAAATATCAGATGATTGGGATACAATACCTGCTCCCTTACTGCAGGATGCTTTGTATATTTTGATCACTGATGAAGGGACAGGTGAACATGGGTTTCCTGATTTGCATCCCCAAGGAGATCATATTCACACATATCTACAATCTGCATGAGTTCTAATGACATTTATTTTAAACTGAATTTAAGGTAAGGTAAATATACTTTCATTGGCTGAAGTAAAATTTGTTTCTTAAATTTAACATATGCCATGATTTAGGAAAAAACATAGAGGTCTTCTATGATTTTTCCTAAAATCTAAACTAGTTGATTCTACAATATGAAACTAAATGTATTGTTTTATCTTACCATAGCCTAACTTAACATTAAATTAAAATTTCCCAATATTTTTATATCATCACTAGAAAATCACAGAAATATATTGTACATATAAAGGATAAAATGTCTTTAGTGGTACAGAAAGACACAGTAAATGTGTTGAATGAGAATAAAAGAAAGAAGAAGATACAAGAATGGAATGAATAAAGGCAAAAAGGAAAGATCAAGGGAGAAAATGGGATAAAGGGAGGAATGATAGGAATT